TATATCAAAACGCTCGTATGAATGATTTCTACATCTATATGGGCCATTCCATACAATATTTACACCTCCATATTTTTTTGGTGTGAAATATATATTTTTACATTCTTTATCGAAAAAAATAAGACACCTATTATTTTATTTCGTCATGATATTCGAAAATCTCGAAAAAAAAATTCCCGAAATTTTGAACTCACGGGGAAGTAATTGTTTGCAGTTAATAAACTATTTGTCAGAGAAAATCAGTTGAGGTCATGTGCGTAATTACCTTGGCTTTCCATCAGAATGGGAGATAGATTAAAATAAAAAAAATTTTGCATTAAAAAAATCGCATTTTCAATTTTTTATTTTTTTTATTAATTTTATAATGTTTGATTTTTATTTTTTTTTTTACCTGAATAGTTGTCAAACTTTATGTTTCTTAGCTGAACTATAGGAGAGTTGCCACCTGTTTAAAAAATCATATGGGGTAAGAAAAATATGTACCACCATATGGATACCAAATGAAAGGGGTTCTAAGTAGAAAGTAGTAGTTTGAAAATATTTTGAAGAGGGTTGCCACGTGATTACTTATACACAAGTTGTATGAAACATCAAAATATGGATGTCGAACGAAGAAGTGTTAAGAAATCTTTAGTTTGAACGTCAGAATATTTTTGAGGTGTTGAAAGAGGGTTGCCACCTGTTTATAAAGTTAAATTCAAATTATTTAATTAGTTTAATGAATTATTAAAATATGGGTATCAATCGAAGGGAGTTTGAAAAACTTTTACTTCTGAATTGTACTTAGCGGGATTGCCACATGTTTAAAAAATCAGATTCCACTAAATTCATCACTTAATTAAAATATATATCGTAATGTCAGGCGAAGGAGAGTTAACAAGGATTTAGCTTGAAAATAAATTTCAAGAGGGCTGCCACCCTGAGAAAGACTGTTAAGAAGTCTTTAGTTTAAAAATTTGGAATGTTTGAATAAGTTTGCTACGTGTTTAAAGGAGAAAATTAAAGACTTTACCTGTAGATGAGTAGTAAAGTTTTTATATTTTTTTTTAATTAAGAACTTTTTTCATCGGTATAGGGTGATTTGAAATTTGATGAGACTAAAAACATGTACTATGCCATTCAATGGCACTCGGATCTCTTATAACTCCGACTAACATTTGGAATATTTTTTTAAATTTTGAAATTAAGTTTTGGGCGTTTTAACGCCATGCGGGTACACCAGTAGTTTAATAATACACATAAATACATTACAAGTGAACGCATACAACCGATTTCTACTGGGTAGTTATGTAGGTACATACGAACTTGTTACTCTTTTGTTTCCTGTTTTTGTCAGCCCCAAAGTCGAACTGAGTAATTAAATGTACACGCACTAAAGTACTTAGTCTATGCTAATTTTCGACAGACAGAAAAGTCACATGTGATTTATTAACTTTAGTTTATTATTACAAGATGTCCGCTATAGATAAAAGTTTTCGCTTGACATGCCAGGCTATTGCGTACATATGTATGTGTTTGAGCGGAATCTGTCAAACCTCTTGTTTGTTACATACTCAGTCATTGATGCCAAATCACCACGATAAGTTACACGAAATTATATGACTTCGGTTATTAATATGAGGGCTCGTTAGTGGAAACGTTGAATCAGCTGTGTCGATTTTTTAGCTGGCTAGTTATTATTGGCAAGCAAGTTTGTCCTAGATGGGACGACGCCAATCCCCAGGAGGCTCACCAGGTATTAATAGAAGTATGAAAGGTTATTCATTGGGGTCAACAAAATAAAAAAACATCGCCAAAGTTTCATAAACATTTAAAACTTTTTAATCAGTGTACAGTTATGTAGCTCATAAAATTTTAATAGAATAAAGTACGATTTTGATGCGGCTACCAAATACCTTTGACTTTTGGAAATTTTATACTAGTTTTCGCCCAGCGGTTGAAATTCAACCTTTTAAATTAAGGGGAGTTGAGGTGGGCTGAGCTGAACCGAGTTGAGTTTATTTGAGTTGATTGAAGTGAATTGAGCTGAAATACCTTGAACAACATAAAAGAATATAACATAATATAACATAATATAACATAACATAACATAACATAACGCAACATAACACAACATAATCTAACTCAACATAGCATAACATAACATAAGATAACATAACATAACATAACGCAACATAACATAACATAACACCACAAAACACAACACAAAACAATGCTCTACCATTATCTCTATCTTTGTCGCTGCCGTTTTTTTATTATTTCATTTTTATTTTTATCACTTCCTTGACTTTAATTTAGATCTTTATCTGCATTCTTTTCTTTATCTATATGTTCATCCACACTTTTGCTATTATATTTAATATTTAAATTTACCTTCTCTTTATGTTTACGTTTCTTTACTTTTATTTTAATCTCTGCATTTATCCCTTTCTATTCATGAACATACATACATACCATCTTATTCCTTAACTGCTGCGTAGCACGTTTCTGTAATTCAGTATCAATATTAAAGCATACATTTAG